GCGGTAAGGACCCATTCATGCTCTACTGGTGCAGGCTATCCTGAAGGAGTAGCTGAACCCCGTGGAGAGATTTTTGGCGTGGTAGCAGCAGTCAGCGATGTCAGAAGCAAGAGTCGTCCACTCCCCATCTTCACCAAGGAAAGAGAGAAAAGACATTTACTCAGCTGTGCAACTCAGATGATTCCTCAGGGAACTGAGGCTGTAGGTATGTTCCAGACTCATTATTCATGAGACTAAGGGGTGAAGCAGAAAATCAGCAGCAAACATTTAAAGAAGCAAACGTTTCACATGATGCTCTGTCCCAGACTTTGCCATTGCTGCTGTCCTCAAGGGTGAACTCAACTCCCTAAGTCTGCCTGAGATTAAACCCATCCTTTAGGATCATTTAGGCTGGAAAAGACCTTTAAGGTCATCAGGTCCAACCATGAACCCAGCACTGCCAGGTCCACCACTAAGCAAAGTCACTAACTGCCGTATCTACACATCTTTTAAATCCCCCCAGGGCTGGTGACTCCACCACTTCCCTAGGCAGCCTGTTAATGAATTCAGATTAACACTGAGAGACAGCCTCAAATCATAGGACAAGCAATAATCCATCGCCCAAAACAAAGGTACCAATGACCTGCAGGGTGCTGGATGAATTAGGGTCTGTGTGTGTGTGAGAAGGAGCAGACAGAGCTTAGAAACAGAGAAAAGTGTTGGCAGAAGCAGCATGCAAAAGCCTTCTGTGAAATAATGGGCAAAACAAGGATTTTTTTTCAAATTATCTTAACCCTCCTGCACTCAGGAAAGCAGGACTTTGCATCTCCCTGCCAAATACACAGAACACAGGGAGATTGTAGATGCTGTTTCCTGTTTTCCTTCCTCATTGGAACAACTTGCATCTGTATCCTCCCTGAAGACTCTCCTACAGTTGGGCCAAAAAGAATGGCAATAAAGAAAGCTGCAAAGGAAAAGTGGCTGTGACCAGCTCCAGAGTGAAAAGGCAGAAAGCTGCTGCCCATCCTCATGCTAATCCAGAAGGGAGTGTGAATTTAAAGGAGGAACGTGGAGCAGTTGAATCCAAGGGGCTGTGAATGTGTGACTGCAGGAGAAATTGCCATCAGACACAGCATTTGTAATAACAACAGCAAAAGCAATCCCAAGAGAGGCTTGGGGATTTGATTCAGAGTCCATGGAATTGAACAAGAAAACATCCACTGACTTCATCAGGCTCTGGACCAAGCCTTGGCAAAGAACATCAAAGGGATGATGCAGTTCTGCCAGACTTGTCATCTTGTCCTGGCTGCTTGCCCTAAGCTCCTGCATGAGCAGTGGGAAAAGACAGCCTGGGTCAGCCTGAACAGTCCCTGGCTGTCCAGCCCGGGGTGAATTCCCTTCCTGACAGGTCACCTTTCTCCACAGGCTGCAGAGAAAACCTGGCTGTGAGCTGAGCCTGCTGTGGATCATTGCTGGGCAATAGTGGTGTAGAATATTGTCAGAACTGCAACTTGAGAGGATTCCAGCCATGAATATTCTTCTCTAGCTGTTCCCTTTTTGGTCATAGCTTCCATGTGACCTAGTTGGTTCACAAAGCCTTTGAGTACACATATTCCAGGCTCAGTTAACCAGCACCACATCTAAATTCTAGATGGCTACATGGTGGCTGTATGAACTTCATTATTGACTCTACACTAGGGAGCTAAAATCAGGCTGTTTCTGAACAAAAAGAAAATATCCAGCTGGTGAAGAGATGATAGAAGTTGAGGTGTTCCCTGCAGGGTGTAAGGGCTGTGCTCCACTTTACCTTCACTCTTGCACTGGACAGTGTAGTGGACAGGGATGTTGGTTTCCACTGGTTTCCAGACCACCTGCACTCCATCCTCGTAGACATCCACGATATCAGGGGGTGGAGGGCTGGGAGGAACCTCTGTGGAGAGGAGGCACAGACCCCAGTGACTGGTAGCATTAGCAGTGTGGTGATACACACCCCTCCACCCAGCATTTCTCACTCATGGGTACTCTCTATATATCACAGAATAATAGAATATTGGGAGTTGGAAGGGCCCTTTCAAGGTCACCCAGTCCTCCCCCTGCAGGGAGCAGGGACATCTGCAGCTAGAGCAGGGTGCTCAGAGCCCAGACCAACCTCCCCTGGAATGGTTCCAGGGATGGGGCAGCGACCACCTCTCTGGGCAGCCTGGGCCAGGGGCTCACCACCCTCAGTGCCAAACATTTCTTCTTTATATCTGATGTAAGTCACCCCTCTTTTAGTTTAAAACTATCATCCCTTGTCTTGTTGCAACAGGCACTGCTAAAATGATTGAATATATCTAAATATATATATGTGTATGTTTTTAATATATCTATAATATATATTTTAACAACATATCTATATTTTAGATATATCTATCCACCCCCACTCCTCCCTGGTGGAACAGCAATTTAACCCTGGCTGATTTCAACTCAGCATTGAGCTTTTCAAGTCTGCTTCTAGAACCAGGTGGCTACTGGAGTGGCTCTAAATCCAGGAGAGAGACTAGAGAGTGACAGAGAGGGAGTGAACCCTACAAAATATGCCACCCTACCAAGCAGCAAGGGCTGTGCCTGAAGAAGTCTCAGAAGTCTGGCAGAAGTCTCACCTCACAGCTATTTACAGCTCACATTTTTGGGCAGAAGTGCTGCTCATACCGCCTTCTGCTGGGACTTCTTTTCCTACCTGCTTTTCTTATGATGCAAGAGGTGGATGCTGAGCCCAGGGAGTTGGTGGCCACGCATGTGTAAATTCCAAAATCATCAGCAGTGATGGAGAGAATAGTTAAGAGCTGGAAGTTCTTGAGCGTCGCTGAGATGAGGATCCGGCTGCTGCTGTGGACGGGGATCCCATCTACCGCCTTCTGCTGGGACTTCTTTTCCTACCTGCTTTTCTTATGATGCAAGAGGTGGATGCTGAGCCCAGGGAGTTGGTGGCCACGCATGTGTAAATTCCAAAATCATCAGCAGTGATGGAGAGAATAGTTAAGAGCTGGAAGTTCTTGAGCGTCGCTGAGATGAGGATCCGGCTGCTGCTGTGGACGGGGATCCCATCTGAAAAAAAGGAGAAGATCAGAGAGATAAGAATCCTCCAATTTCCACCCCGGGGCCCAAACCCTTCCCTGCACCCCTGTCCCAGGGGTCGGGGGGTGGTGTGGGGTGTGCCAAGGTCACCTCTGAACCAGTCGGTGCGCGGGGAGGAGTGGGGCGCCGTGCGGCACGACAGCGTCACGCACTGCCCCGGGGCAGCAGCCTGGTCCACCAGCTCCTCCACGAACAAAGGTGCTGCAAGGAGAGGAGAAGCAGTGATTCAGAGAGGCCGGGAGGGCTACGTGGGACAGAAGTGCACACAGGACAGCAGAGGGTGTTTGTCATTGGTTGGAGAACGTTTCTGGGTCGTGCCCTGGCATTCCTTTGACTGCCAGCTGGAGAAGCCCCTGGGCAGCGGGCACGTCAGTGCTGGAGGACAAGAGGAAACGGCCTCAACTTGCACCAGGGGGGGCTGAGGTTGGATATAGGAAAATATTTCTTCCCCAAAAGGGTTGCCCAGGGCTGTGCCAGGCTGCCCAGGGCAGTGGTGGAGTCCCCACCCCTGGAGGGGTTTCCAAGCCGTGGAGATGTGGTGTGAGGGACATGGGTTAATGGTGCCCGGGCAGTGCTGGGGGAATTGGACTTGATGGTCTAAAGGTCCTTTCCAACCTACACAAGTTTATGGTTTTAGGAGACTCATTTAACCCCATGGATGCAGTGGGGCTGCTTATACAGATGGGTCTGGGAAGGTCCATAGGGAACATGTGTGTTGCTCAGCCCTGCTGGTACAGCTAAGGCAGCAGAACATCTCAGAGGAGACAGAGCATGTCACAGCATGGATTTCCTTCTGGCTGAGCTTAAATGTTGGGGCAAAACCAAATTCTGGTGTTTCTTGGGTGAGGGGGAAACGTCAAGACAACACAAGAAGAGAGAAGAGATAAAATATGGATATGAAAGGAGGAAAAAAGCCCCACAGAGCATCGAGTCTGCTGCTGTCTCCATGGGAAAGGGGGAGCTCAGGTTTTCTTGTGTCTCTCCAGGGGTTTTTCTCCACAGTCCCAGAAGCTGTCAGCCTCACCCACCCTTCCCAGAGCTTCACTGGGCTCTGTTGAACACCAGGACATCAACCTGACTTCAGAAACTGCTCCTGATGTGCCAAGGAGAAGCTTGCCTGGGCAAGAGCAAGTTCAGCTCTGCTGGCACCCTGTTTGGGGCTGCCCCACCACTTCTCCGTTCACAGCTCTGGACCTGCTGCCAACCCACCCTTGGATACTTCATTTATCTTCTTTCTACCTGACAGAGAGATTTTATTCCTTTGCAGTGACTTCCTAGAATGGCTCCAGTTTGCAACCAGTGCCAAGTCAAGACAGTTTTAGTGAGGACACAGTTCTGGGGCAAAGAGAGGAGGCTGGCTCCCATTGCAGGAGTTGGTCCAGGCCATCTCAAGACAATCTTTTTAGGTCCATCCCTAGAAACTGGCCTCCCTGTCATATTCATTAGAGATACCTGATGATAAAAGGCACTGATGACTTAGCAATACCTTTCTCCTTGGGCATGAGGCTTGGCAGCTTGAATGAAGAGAGTGCTGATTTCCTCTTCAGAGATCCTTCAGCCCCTATTAACAGCTCTTTTTCTACTGCCTCACTTCTCAGCTCACCAAACTCTGCTTTGAAGGAAAAAAGAGAAGTCATTCATGGCCATCCTTCTCCCTGGGGCATCCATTTAGGGCAGACAGCTCTGCTGGGCACACCTAACCAGCTCAACAGTCACAGGGTCCTGGCTGATGAGCCTCTGGTCAACAGGGAAGGCTGTGGCAGCTATTGATGATTTACAGAATGATGTCCTGGAAGAGCAGGACACATCTAGGGATGGCAGAAAGGAAAGGGCAGATTTTGTTGCCCAGTGTCCTCAACTTTGGTAGCCAGGCTGACTTCAGCTGGTCCCAGTCAGGATTTAGCAGGGTCAGATGGTGACTGCAGAAGGAACTGCAGCAGGAGAAGCATCACCCAGCCCTGACCTGTGTTGGGCAAACTCAGGCAGGGGAATTTGAGCCACTTCCACCAGCAGATAACCCAGCTGACTCTGCACTGGAGTGACCCACTGACAGAGAGCTGGGGCTCAAGGCCACCCCTTTCATTAACCTGCCACTGCCAGTTTTGCAACGATGGTCTAACCACAGCCTCAGATGTGCTGGGTAAAGGGGACAGGCAGATTTAGCAGAGCCCAGTTAGAGCAGCCAACCTACGAAGGCATGGAGTAAAATATTTACCTTCCTCTGCCTCTGGCTCAGGAGAGATCTTTCCTTTTAGGATTCTTGAAATATGGGCAACAGAAGCTTTTACTTTCTTCTTCAGACTCTGCTCCCCTGCCTGCTCCACTGAATGAGACCTTGCATATGGCTTAAAGAGTCCTGGCTTGTAGAAGGAGCTTTTCTGCTTCCCACCCGAGTCCTTTTGGGGACCATACATTTCTTTATGGCTCTCTGATCCTTTCCCCATGGCTAATAAGTTTGTTGCCTTCGAATCCTCAGCTATTTCCAACTGGTTCTTCCTGTTCTTGTCCTCTGCCTCTTCTCTGATGTGGAGCCTTTTATCCCTGTGTGAATGTCCTGCAGGAGGTGACCTTGCCCTCTCACCAAAAGGTATAAACCGCCGGCCAGTCGGTTTGGGTTGGGGCTTCCTGTAGTTCATGAATTCAAATGGAAAATAGACAATGTCATACAAGTCAGAGAAATTCAGATAGGCAGGCTCGACCTCCGAGATGTCAAATTTGGGAGGTCCACTGCCAAGACTGGGTGTTTCATCCGAGAGGTCTTTGATTTTCACTAAAGAAACTTCTGTGTGTTTACCAGCGTCCTTGCTCACTGGCACTTGCCTGGGTCTTTTTTCAATGTCCATGCTATCAGTTGAGGAAACACTCACTTGGCTAGAAGGAGGGGTCTCAAAGGCCAGGTCCTCCAGATCCTCACATTCATGAGGAGCTGTCTGTGCTCCCTGCCCTTCCAGCACCATGGACTCCTCGCTTCCAACAAGATAGGGTTCTGCAAGTTCATCCAGATCAGAGACTTCCCCTATTTTACCCCTTTGTACAGAAGGGAAGGAGGTGTCCACGGGGACTTGGCTACCTGAGCCCTTGTAGAAGGTCTGTGTGGAAGGAGAGATGTGCTTTCTGCCTTCCTCCTCACCAGAAACAGACTCTGCCCAAACGTTCATCTCCTCAGAGAGGGAAACCATCTCATCCACTAAGCCCTCCAGCACAGCAGACTCCTCATCACTATAAAAAGACCACCTGTGATGTGAGAGCTCCTGACTCTGATCCCTGTGGAGTGACAGTGGGACAGTTCTTCCAGCATCAGAGCTTTCTCTGTCTAAGGCAACCCCTCTACCCTCACCATAAACCATTGGATGTTCCTCATACTCTAGCTCACAGACTGAATCTGGAGCAACTCTTGGCTGTGAAGCAGTTAAGACCTCTGGAGGCCCACCCTCCAGATCAGCAGAAAGAACTCTGCCACTGCCTTCAGAAACCTTCTGGGGTTCAGCTCCCTCGATTTCAGCCTCATGGTCCAAACTGGGAACAACCTCTGCCACAGCTGAGCTGTCACTCCTCAGAGCAGCAAGCCTCCCCTTGCTAGGAGCTGGCCGTCCCCTCCCAGCCTGCTCTGCTCCACCAGAGACCGAAGGCAGAACCCGTTTTGGAGGTGGGACTTCTGGAGCAGGGAGATGCTCTCCCTTCAGGACGGCTGGTGCTGTGTCTACGTGAGCAGGGATCTTCTTGTGCACTTGGCTTTCACCCTCACGGGCTGATGGTGGAGTGCTTCCTCTCATACCTGGTCCTTCATCCTCCAGGAGAGCAGATCTGACCTCTTTATGGGTCTTCAGCTTCTGATGAGCACCTTCACCAGCTGCATGGACAGCAGTTTGGGCACCTGGCTGCTTGCCCAGTGGGACAGCAGTTGCTGGAACTCTTTGGCCAGGAAGTTCCTGACTTTTGTCTTGACATACTGGAAGTGACTCAGTTTCTGTTGGTGGGCCTGTTAAACCAGCAGAGCTTTCCTGCTCCATGAGGTCTGGTGTGGCATCACTGGGAGCAGAAGTCTTCTCAGGTGAACGTTTCTGTCTTTTCTCTTTCCAGGGTGGAACTGGGGCTGTCCTTTTGATCAGGAAGCTTCCACCTTTTAGATCTGGATGGGTGGTGGTGCTGTGAGCAGACTCCTGGGGCAGACACAGGCCTCCCATCCTTGCAGGGGGTGGCTTGGAGGTGGCCTCTGATTGCCTGAGAGCTGAAGTGGACTCTTTGTCCTGCTGGAAAGCAGTGTCAGAGGCACTGCCCTGGGAAGACTGACCCTCCATGCTTTCATGTTTTGGAGCTGATGATGCATCTGAGCACTGGGCAGTTGGGACGGGGCTTTTGCCTTCCCAATCTTCATCTTCCTCATCCACATAAGTGGCTTTTGACTTCTTCAGTAGGTGCTTCCTATTCTTGCTCCTCTGAGGTGACACTGGAAGCCCTTCTCGCTGTGGCACAAAACCAGCCAGGCAGCCATCACCCTCACATGGCGTGGAAGGAGGGGGCTGCTCTCCTGAACAATCCTTGCTGGTCCTCCTCACGTCCTCCAGCTTTGAGGTGGCTGTGGAACATCCCTGGCCAGGCCCCGCGGGAACGTCGCAGTGCTCGCTGCCTTCAGGGCAGCTCTCCTGGGACAACACGTCGCAGTCTTCTTCCAAAATCCCTTGTTCCCTCACTGACCTTGAGGCTCTCAGCCTGTAGTCATCCAAGGACCTGCTCCGGGTGGCGCTGGCGATGGCAGGATGTGGGGGTTTCCTTGCAGTGTCAAACGAAGCTGATTTGGTCAAGGAACCAAGCAGCCCTTCCCTGTGGTCATCATCAGACATCCCTTCTTCTTCTTCTTCTTCCAGCTCACATTGCTCCAGGAGGGGTTCACGGAGACCACTGAGGGGCACCTTGGAATAGCCAGCTTTACGGAAGGTCCTTCTGGCTCTGCCCAGGTGCCTTCTGAGCTCCCTGCCTGGTGAGGCAGGTCCCCTGGCAGGCAGCTCGGCTGCTTGGCTGTAGAAGGTGCTTTTGATGACACTCTGCCTAGGGACACAGACCGATGGCTTTTCTGACCCATCCTCAGCCATTTCAGCTCTGTCCTCCTCAGCTACAAAGGCACCTGGTGTTTCTTTCTGAGGCAGATGGGATGTGCTTCCTGGGGAAGTCCTCACGGATGGAGGCTCAGCAGCACTGCTGCTTTGGGCCTGCTCTGCTCTTTCATCTCTAAGTGTGGGATGAAGCCTCTCCTCTTTCTCCTTTAGGACACTCGCCCTGAGCTCTTTGCTTTCTGCAGGTGATTTATCCCCCACCTCAGCTTTCATGGCAGCATACTTCCTCCTCATGGGCTTTACTGGAGGGGCTGGGATTTTGGAGTGTTTCTCTTCCCTTGTGTATTTTGGAGGCTCCTGGCGGCTTGGTGCATCAAACATGGACACGTGCAGCTCGGGGGTAGAGCCAAAGTGCCTCTTCTTGGGGAAATGGGAGTTCTCGTTGTCTGAAGAGGAGCCACTGGTGCTGGAGGAGGTGCTTTCTTCAACGAGGTGTCGGGAGATGGCCAGGGAGGTGTTGTCGTGAGTCCTTTCTAGGATCTCTGGGATGGACCTCATGACCAGTATGGATTTGTAGCACATCAGAGAACGCTGAAAAGCAGAACAAAACTCAGCCCAGATGGGAAGGAGGTGTGAGCATGGTAGAGCATGCAAACCAAAGTGGACTTCTACACTCCTGAATCCCACACACGGGCTAATTTAAAAACACATTGCCACCCTTTTGTACAAATCATCAACCCAGGCCTCATTTGCTCTCCAAGCCTTCCTCTGCTCTCATTCACAGAGGTGGAACTATCTTGACTTGCTGCTGTGAATGGAGGAGCAGGACCCTGCCTGAGATTTTCAAAGACAACCTGGCCACCCAAAGCAGATGGAAAAGGAGTTTCTAACAGAACACATCAGATGAGACCCTAAGCTGGAGTAAATGCCTTTAAATCTGTCAACTGCACTCTCTTAGGCCAACAGAAGATCTACCACACTTTAGGAGGCAGTCATCTGATTATGTTAGAGAACTTCAGGAAAAGAGGAATCCTCTTGGGACCTGTCTATAATTCAACATCCAAGACAGCTGAAGGTACCTCTTGGACACAACCATGCATCCCACAGGCATTAGCCCAGATGATTTCCAGGCAGTGACAGCCTAGATAACTTATTTCTTCCACATCCATGGACCACTCTTCTCCTGGGCCTACTCCCCATTCATAGCCAAGCTGAGACCTCTGTTGTGCTTGCTGGCCAAGCCTGTTAGACTTTAAAAGATGCCGATGGAATGAAAAATATAGACAACTGAAAAGAGCCAGTGACAGCCTAGATAACTTATTTCTGCCACATCCATGGACCACCCTCTCCTGGGCCTACTCCCCATTCCTAGCCAAGCTGAGACCTCTGCTGTGCTTGCTGGCCAAGCCTGATAGACTTTAAAAGATGCCAATGGAATGAAAAATATAGACAACTAAAAAGAGCCAAGAGGGATTAGGACCAACTCACCTGCCACTTGCTCCGAGCCACAATGAATTTGAGCTGCTTGGTGTTAATGAAATGAGCTGACTCAAGGGGGACATTGTGCTGCCAGATGGAACGAGAGGAAAATCACTGGTTAAAAAATTCTTGGCTTCACTTCCTAACAAGTTGAGATTATTTTTTTTAAGATTCCCTCCTTCCAGAACTATTTAATTTCAGAAACATACACTAGACCAAATGCTACAATGCCCTTATAGATAAATTGTAGAAAATCTCAGCTTTTTGATGGCAAAAGCAAGCCCTGTTCACTGCATGTCATCACATTCCTTTTTTGGTTAGTTTTTAGCTTGTCTCCTTAACAATTTAAGACATTTTATTATAAATTATAACATTGCTCTGCAAAGTTTCCTTTCTATACAGAGATGTTACATCTGCTCATGTCAGTGGTAACCTTCATCTTTTGAAAGATATCTTGCCATGTAATCACCAGTGTGCCTCCTTTGCCTGGAGAGCTATGCTTGAGCTTCTCTATAGGACAGAAAGTAGGAAACCAAGAAAAAAAAATCAACTAGCAAATTCTATCAAGCAGCTTTTAGAGCTTCTCCTCCAAAGGTCTCTTCAAACCTCAGTGTTTTTAATGAGTGTAATAAACAACCAGCACAAACTTACCATGAACCACTTGTGGGAAAGACAATCCAAAGCACTGGGTCTGTCTCTGGTAAGGGAAAAAAAAAAACCCCACCATTTTAGTTGCAAGTCCTGGCAGCCACCAGCAGGTCTCCCCAGCTGGAGCCTTCTCCTCTCAGCTGCCCCAGCCCAACTCTCTCCTGCTGGGCTCCCAGCAGAGGGGTTCCCCCCTCGGGGCATTGCTGGGGCTCCTCTGGCCCCGCTCCAGCAGCTCCCTGGCTCTGCTGTGCTGAGGACTCCAGAGCTGCCCCAGCACTGCAGGGGGGTCTCCCAGAGCTGGCAGAGGGGCAGGATCCTCACCCCCAACACCCCCAAGTCCTTCCCCCCAAGGCTGCTCCCCAGCCCATCACCCCCAGCCTGTGTTGGTACCAGGGTATTGATACCAGTATGTTCTTAGGCTGCTGGTTTAGAGCTGAGAAGCCAAACAAACAGAAAGAGGCTTTCACACCAAAGTTTTCTTCCTCCTTTTTCAGTCTGAGACCCCTTACAGCTCCTCAGGATACCCCATGGCACTCTGCAGGGTCCTTCCCAGGGGCATTCAGAGCAGCCTTTTGCCTCTATGGGTGGCCAGAGCAAAAATAGCTTTGGTAGCAGGCAGAAGGAATAGAAATGAAATTAAAAAGCAAGTGCCTGCAAACATGCCTTCAAGCTGCCTTTTGTGTTTGAAATTGCTTAATGAATGTAGTTAGTGCTATTTAATTCCCCTGTGTAGCAAGTCCTCACTCTTCCCACTCCTCTGTGTCATTTCAGAAAGTCACCAGCCTGGAGGAGTCAGGGACTAAGGACATCACCCTACCACAAACAGTCCAGTTTGACAAATTACCAACTTGTGCGTTGGGTAATGAGGAATAATAAAGAAGAATCAGGGTATAACTCACCACATCTCACTCAGCTTTCTCCTTCTCAAAACACCTGCAGCTCTGGTGAGCTGAGATCTGCCTGAGACCTCAACGTCTTTGCACACTGGCTGTGGGAAGCAGAAAATTGCACTCACTTGGGGTTCTGCTGCAGGATGCCTTTTATGAAGGCCTTGGCATCTTCACTCAGATGAACAAAGTCAGGGATGGTCCATGAAATTTCCCCCTTCTGGATGTTGAGAAGGGTTCCTCTGTCGTTCTCCCCAGCAAACGGAGACTTGCACGTTAGGCTGTTATTGAACACCAGAAATTAAAAGCAGGCAGACTTTAGGCTTGTATTTGCTGGTGAAGTGAGAAAAGTGCTTATATGGGGCTTTGAAATACTTGAGGGACTCCACGCATGGGGCTTGCATTGCTTATGAGCAGTCTGGTCACTAGCAGAGCATCTTTCACCCCAGCATCACGTGGCACTCAGCTGAATTGTTTATCTCAGTTCATAGCTGAGGAATTAAGGGCTTGGTTTTGCACAGCTACAGAAAGGGGTTGGTTAAAATAGGCAAGGGGAAGACTGGACCTCTCCACTGCTCTCATCTCCACCTACAAGGAGACCAACTGCCTCATCTTCAAGCAGGGAGAATGACAAGGGGGAATAACAAAAGCCTTGTGAAACCAGGAAAGAGTGAGTAAAGGAGAAAACCACAGCAGAACCTGCCCCCATTGCACAAGGGCTCAATGCTTCCCTCAGATCCCTCACTTGAGGCTGCTGGGGTCTCTGAGTGACCCCACTATTGGATATTGAATGGATAAATGGATATTGAACGAGTTTTCCAAGAGGGTTTATTTACCTTAAATACGTGATGACTCCAACAGCCCTGAGGAGAGAGGGAACACAAATGTCAGGTGTTTGCCACCATTTCTGCATCCTTCTCAAGCACACAGCCCCTCTTCCTGCCACTGGAGACCCTGGCACAGTAAGATCACCTTCATCTCCTCACCTTTTCAAGAAAAATAAATCCCCCAAGCTATTGTTTTCAATTTTAAATTTTTTTCCCTTTAAAAGTTAAAAAAATTTCTTCCATTTTTAAGCACAGATAGAGGAGAAGACTCAAAATACTTTCTGGGAGTTTGTTTGCCTTTTCTAGAAAGCCCTTTAGGATCATCCTCCCTAATTGCTGCTTCTCATACAGATCATCTGCTCTAAGATGCTCCTTTGCATTCATTAGCTGTCTGAGCTCAATTATGCCTGAACAAAACAGAGGAAGAGCTTTAAAGAGCCACGAAGGGTTTTGGATTCTCAGTGTTCACTTTCTGTTTCCCATCTTATTTTAATGACTTTATTTATTTATTAACAATAAATGGAAATTGAGGCTTTTTTAGAGAGGTGATAGGTTACCAGATATCAGTAGCTTTTGACACTGGTGATTGAGAAACAATTTCTGGGGCAACGAACTCTGGAGACCCGTATTTGCTGAACTGAGGTTCAAAGGGTGTGATCTTCTGAGCAAATCCAAAGTCACAGAGCTTAAGGTCTTCCCTTTCTGGATACACCATGAGGATATTCAGGGGCTAGGAAAAGAAATAGAATAAAAGGGATGGGTTGTAAGTAAGAATAATATGAATATTGTCCACTCCCTGAACATGAGGATAAGCTAAATCTGCCATCCCCCATTACCTTGATGTCCAAATGAAGGATGTTGTTGTCATGAAGATATTTGATTCCTTCTAAGATTTGCTTGATATACAATTTGACCTAAAAAAATAAATAAATGATTCAACATTAATAGTAAATAAAAGAGTCCCTGATCCCACCAACATTTTTAATTTAATAAAGAGAGAGGTTGAATTAGAAATACTTTTAAAACTAGCATGAACTTCTTATATTAGTCTTGCAGTTGATGCAAACCAAGCTGTGCCTCCTGTGTGACCACATTGCCCTGATCTTCTATATGTGAAAAAGCCCTTAATTAAAAAAAACCCCAACCAACCAACCAACAAACCCCAACAAACCCAAAAAAGAGACACAGCAATCCTCAGTTATGATGAACCTTATCAACTGTCTTATTTATTTAACTCAAACTCAATTCTGGCTTGGTGTAAATGAGGCAAACACATTTAAAACTCAAAAAAACATTTGCCAACGTTGGTGTAAGCCTATTTTCCTGAGTATCTGTAGATCCAGTCTGACTATGACTGCACAAGGAGTGAAGATTTACAGCTCGTTTCAGCTTTGGAAGTCCTCTACCTGTGGGGTTTTGTAGTGTTAGCTGACATTTCATCTTTAAAAACCCCTTCCAACCCAAACCATTCTATAATTCTATGATGTTTCTTTCTGAATATTTCCAAGAAAAAATCCATTTTACCAATAAATATGGACTACTAGACAGGAGATGTGAATCTTGAAGTTTTCTAGTTATTCCCCAGAAGAGCTCAGCTTACTAATTGGAACACATTTTAAAGGCTCTTTCTGTTTTGATAAATTATCACTGGTTCAAAGACTTTCTTCATATTCAAAAAGAATAAAGCATCTGGAAGGGACTCAGGTGGTAACCACCAACTCTGGACTTTCAAATGAGAAAGAAAGGTTACCTCTGCTTCAGTGACAACACTCTTCTTGAACAGACGGTCCAGGAGCTCTTCACTGGAGCATCTGGCAATGGCATTAAGGAAAACAGAACTACACTTAAATATTTTGTACACTGAGGGTGGTGAGACCTGGCCCAGGCTGCCCAGAGAGGTGGTCACTGCCCCATCCCTGGAACCATCCCAGGTGAGGTTGGTTTGGGCTCTGAGCACCCTGCTCTAGCTGCAGATGTCCCTGCTCCCTGCAGGGGGGTTGGACTGGATGACCTTGAAAGATCCCTTCCAAGCCATTCTATGATGATTTTTCCTAGAGCAGCAGAAATCTAGTACTTCAGCAAAGATCTCACAGAGCTATGTTATCTTGCAGTGGCAGAGAAAGATCATGTGTGTCCTTTTATCTCAGACAAGCCCCCAAAATGCTTCATCCCTCATTTATCCAACAAATCCACCCGATACCTCCCAACCTCCTCGGGACCAGCAGCACAGGAAAGGATACAGCTCCAGAATCAAAATGAGTGTTTTCCGTGTTTCAAACTGATCCAGCAGCCTGGTGATCCTGTCGTGGGACAGAGAGGCCAGGATGTCCCTCTCCTGGTGAGCCCGAGCCTTCGTCTTGCTTCGCAGGGGTATGAATTTGGCAGCACAAGACACTCGGTTCCCTTTGTGCACAACTCTTTTCACGAAGCTGAAGCAGCCCCTGTGGACACATCCAAGGAGAAACCCTGGGTCGGAGCCCTCTGGACCTCTCCACGTCCCAACCTTTGATAGCTCCCTACTGCTCAGGGCTTAAATTCTCCAAGGTAAGCAGCTCATTCTCCTGTGTGTGAGGTGCTGTTGCCCTCTCCTGGTTGTCTCCAAAACTAAGCAACGAGTTCCCATCAAGGGAGAAGCTGCTGCAGGTGACACAGCCTTGTGCTGACAAAGGCTGATGCCCTTGGATTGCTTGGATGGAGGTCGCTGTAGACTTGGGATGCCCATTGCCAATACCTGGACATCTATCCCACCAGCCCCTGGCTGATGTGTTTTCTGGTTGGAGCTCCCTGGAGCTGTAAGCTGGATGGACTCTCCCATCCCCTATCAGAAACATCAGGAAACTGTTTCCAGCACACCTGCAATGAGGTGACCTCCCAATTCCACCTTTTCAGACCTTTCCACAGCTGGGTCCACATCTGCTTCTGCTTGCACATGCTCAGATGAGCCAGTAGATATTCTCCAGAAGTGATGTTAGAAAGTTGGAAAATTTATTTACCTTCCAATCTCCTGCTTAACCTCATAAAGGGAATGGAGCTTTCTCCTGGTGGCCACTTTCTTTGCTTCTTGGTCTTTCTTAGCTTTGGAGATGAAGGAGAATATCAGTGTTAATAGTCAGACAACAATGTCTTGCTAGTGGAGTGGAAAGTTATTACAGGACAATTTGAGGCAGGAAAAATTACAGGGGTCCTCTAAACTTCTGCACCAAATTCAATGGAGCTGTTTGAGGGTGGAACCTTTCAATAGGAACTTTGGGGCTGCATCTTCACCTGACATAAGTCAGAAGAGCCAGGCTAAAGAGCAGAAGGCTACCAGAGACATGGTCCCACCTATTTCTGTGGCTCATTGTATCAATTCTTGATGTAATCTGAAGCAGAGAAAAGAAAAATCTTATTTTTATATATATAAATATGTTGGTCATTAGATCATTTGCTCTTATGCTGGGCCCTGCCCTACTGGTAATAGGCAAATGCTGTGGAGGAACGAAGAGCAGGTTCCATGTGAGTACCAGGGGATGACTTGAACAGAGTGCACGTGGCCAAGGCTGTGGAAGCAACCCCTGCCCTGGAAGGAGGACATTACCTTCACGTACAACAAGCTCTGCTTTGCACAACACCTCCCCTCCTGCATTTTTGGCAACACAGGTATAAACACCACCATCTTCTGAGACAGCGTTGTCCACCACTAAGAAATAGGTTGTTCCTTCCTTCCCCTGGTGGAGCCTGTCGCTGTCTGTCAGCAAGGAAGTGCCCTGAAAGAAGGAAATGACATTTTGGTCCTGGAAAAACCAAGATGGAAACATCTGTTTCTTCTCTTCAAGGACCAAGCTACAGGAGCAGAGCTACGCCACAGGCTGGTTAGGTTTGCAAATCTCACCAGCACAATGCTGCCTGAAGAAGTCCCTCATGTCAAACTCTTCTCTGCTTCCATAGTACCCACTAACATTTTCATTTCACAAGCCTTTCATAGGAATACAGGCTTGGGAGGGATCACCATGGCTATGTGGAGTACTCTTCAGCTCTCCCAGCCCACCATGCCTGGGCAGTCAGCCCAGGGAGCATGAGGATCAGCTACTTTGCTCCTGCCTGGTCTTCTCCCAATGAAGAAGTGATGGCACATGAAGAAAAAGCCTCAAACTACATCAGGTTTAGGTTGGATCTGAGGAAAAACTTCTTCCCCAGAAGGTTTGTCCAGGTCTGTGCCAGGGGCAGTGGTGGAGTCTCCATCCCTGGAGGGGTTTCCAAGCTGTGGAGATGTGGTGTGAGGGACGTGGGGCAGTGGGGACTTGGGTGCATTGAGTTAACAATTTGACTTGATCTTAAAGGTCTTTTCCAACCAAAATGATTCTATGATTCTAAAACACCAGCTAAACCTGTGTAATGCATGTCAGGGGATGAACCCTATTCCTGCACATGAAATGTCAGTCTCTGACCTGTTCCTACTCACACTGGAGCAAGACTCTGAGTTTCAGTAGATCATTCCATGGCAGCACCACCTCAGAGCTTGGCAGCTCTCCAAAAGTACCAGAGGCTAGAAATCCTTAGGGAAGCATTGAAGACTAAGACAGAAAGCACCATCTTGTAAAACCCTGGTTTGCCAGGGTGTGACAGGGTTGCAGTGATGTTCTTTCTGTCAACAGCCTCCAGATGAGGATTGACAGAGCAGGTTGGGGCTCTTCAGCCTAGAAGGTAGGCTCTAGCAAGTTGATGTGGTAGAGCTGTACAGAACCACGAACAGCCCAGGGAGTGGGCAGGGATTTAACTTCTTCTGGCACAAGACAGAAGAGCCAAAGCATGAAGCTTCTTGTCCTGGGTTGAGCTAGAACAAAATCAGTTCTCCATTCAGTGACTTTATGCCCTTTCTAAAGTCAACAGCATGTTTTTGCAGACAGCATCTTCTTCTAGAAGTGATAGGGCTTGAAGTTTACAGTTGCTACCAATGGTTGATGTGCTGAAAGTCTCTTGCTTATAACTTGCTCCAAACAAGGTCACGGCTACATCCTGTGCACCACGTTGAGGTGTCTTGAATTAAAATGCTGCAGTTCCCTTTTGGGAAGGGAGAGGGGTTAAAAGAGACCATCTGGCATCTGTCTGGTCACTGGCCCAGCCCTAACTCTTGCCTCTTGTGGTGAATGTGTATGGAAGAGCCAAAAAGAGCTGGCACCTCGGGGAGCATCCTGTCATTGGGTTGAACTCTTGACAGAAGACACTGTGTCTGCAAGATGTTTGCATGGATGCAAGAGGGGACTAGAAAAGTGTGTGGAGAGCTTTCCTGTGCGTTAGGAAACAGGTAAAAGCTCAGCTAGCTTGTGAGAAATGAGCTGAAAACATTGCAAGAATGTTAAAAGGGTCTATCATATATTCCTGCCTTGTTCTTTTCATAGAATCATAGAATTGTTGAACTGGGAAAAGACCTTCAAGATGATTGAGACCCACCAGATCATCACATGCATGTGTGCCTGTACATGAGAGGGGAGTTCTTGAATTTTTCATTCTTTTTTTAAGGTTATTTGATTTGTCTGGCTAGCTTGTTCTTGGACTTCCCATACAGAAATTAAAATAAATAAAAAAAGGATTAAAACTTATGTGTACAAGACACATAGTTGGATAGAGAAGTTATAGACAATGACTATAGAAAAACATTGCCTTATTTCAGGGACATCACAATTAGAAATAATATGAAGAAGAACTAAGAACAGGAAAGAATAATAAGAATAAGAAATAGGAAATTATTTTTCCTTCCTTTCTAAGGGATATTCATTGGCCTTGGTCACATTCATTTTGCTAATTAGCTGCAGAAAACTTAGAGAGCCTTTAAGTCATACTGACAATGAGAATAAACCATTCTTAATCCCATCTGAGACCCCAAAACTACAACACACATCTTGGTAGCTCTTAGGCAGGAACTAATCTCCCTTCCTGTTCTTCTTGGTCCCCAAAATCATCTTGGTTGCCTGGAACCAACACAGGACAAGAGGCATGGTTGGTGGTTCCAGTGAAAACTGCAGCTGGTTCCACAAAATGACCCAAAATCAACGTTAAGAAGTGTGGGATGAAAGAGCAGAAGAATTTCCCCACTGAAGACCTTCACCAGAGTCCTTTCTGTGGCCTTCACCTCAGCCAGAGAAAACCCTGCACTTACCTTAAACCACAAAACAGTGGGTTGAGGGGTTCCTTCAATGACTGCCTGGAATTTGGCACGCTCCCCAGAATTCACCTGCACATCCTCTATGGTCACTTGCATGTAGGGAGGACCTGGAGAGACACAAGGGTTTGCTGCATGCCCAACACCATAACTCATCACCTGCTGACATAGGTTTAGTGACTCAAATGGGATTTATAGGACTGGCCATTTAGGATTTCACATTAACCTGATGTCAGATCAAGAGTTATCACAGCAATATATTTGGGGATCTTTATATTGGTGTTGCTTTTCGTCTTCTTCACTCTTACCTGTTGCTTTTTGGTTAATAAATAGTTACTGCTCAAGAAATGGAAGAATTTTTAAACCTATAGTCATCAGGAGTTATTACCAAAAGAGCAGACAATGACAATCATGGGTTGTGGAAAAGGGAAACGAGTTTCTTACTTGTTGGGGTCTTCTCCTCAGTCTTATACACACAAGTTCTTTCTGTGGTCTCAATATAAACTTCACTGTGTACATCCCAGACCACGTCTCCTTCTCTCCTGTACCAGTCTCCTGCCCCTGTGGCTGGTGATGGTCTTTTGGGAAACCCAAGAGAAAAGATTACATCGTCACATAGAACTGTGGAAATACAGGATTCCCTCCAGGTTAATGACCAGAGAAATTATTATTTACTCAAAATTAATACAAGAAGGGTTTGGGGGTTTTTTTTGGAGGGGAGGGAATGAATTTCTCTCCATCCTTTTTTTTTTATTCTTCTTGCACAATACATGTGTGAACAGGAGTCTCAAAATAATACTAGACCTACAAGAATCAGTTTAAGTCACCACCTGCTTCCTTCACCACAGAGGACTTGTTTTTCTTGCAGGAAAGTCAAAATTCCATGGATTGAGATGGGTTTTTACCTGCTAATAGGAACAGTGCGTTCTCCAGTGCTTTCATCTCCAGCAGCTGTCTCTGCAGTGGAAGGACCAGGGCTGGGCTTTGGCACCCTTGGTTCTTCAGGTGGAATTTGTGCTTTGGCTAGCAGCAGAAATAAGGCAAGTTAGACACGTCACCTCTGAAACCCAGAGCAAATCTTTGGGGCCATCTCTAGCCTGTCTGGGGTCAGAACTGAGGCTGTCTGACCTCTGCTGAGTGCAGTCACAGAGGCTAAGAGGAGAATTTGGCCCTTTTGAGAAGACCACATCGAACAAAGGGCTCAACACCAGAGAGACTGAAGGGTGGCACGTTGCTGACTGGGCAAAGCTAACTTTTGTGTGAGGAAACACACACAGACAAGGATAGGAAAAGCAGTCAGTAGGGACAAGAAGAAATTGGACAACTGGAAAGATAATGTGTTCAACACATCCTTCATAGGAGAAAATTCAACTGTGTTTGAGTTCCAGCTCATAGCTATGATGAAATCATAGAAATATTTAGGTTGGGAAAGGCCCTTAGAATCATCTAGATTGGAAAAGACCCTTAAAATCACCGAGTTCAACTCTCAACCTAACACTAAGAAGTCCACCACTAAACAATGTCCCTATGCACCACATCTACATGTCTTTTTAAATCCCTTCAGGGATGGCCAGCGTTAGCTTCATACACATGGACACTTCAGTTGAACATTGTGTTATGAGGACAGCTCTTGCCATCTCAGACAGCATCAGTGAAATGAGTAAGCTGACATCAATGTAAAACTAGTGGTCAAGGCAGGGCCTGGCTGGGGGTACAACTAATATGGAGCTATGCTGATATGGAGGACTTGGTGAAGAGCATCAACATTGGTGCATCTCCACTGAGTTCTTTGAAAATGTCCTCGTACAACTCTGAGTTACACCAGAACAAGGTTTGGCATCTGGGACTTGTAGGAACAAGGAAACAAAAAGATGGTGCAGCTTGATGGCAGTTCAGGTATTGTTCTTCTTTTATCATTAAATATTTTATCAGATGCATCTTCAAACATTCATTTGATTTTCCATTCCAAAAATACCTGGTTTGTCTTTTGATAGTGACCATTTGAGTCACCTCATAGGATAAAGTTCATCATCTCCTTTTTCATTTGGGGAGAAAAGGTTAAATCAAGAGGAGTCTTCTCCCCATCATGAAGAGCCTTTTGGGGGAGCATTCTGGGAATGTTTGGTGCTGGCTGGTTTAGGAAAAAAAAGCATCAGAATCTAGAAATCACATAAACCAGCTCTGCTGGGATGGAGAACGTGGTTATTGAAGACATTACTGGCAGGGACAGGGATCCCAGGTTGGTGGGATTGTGCTTTCCTTTTGACAGCACTATCAAAACATTTGCCTCCTTCTTCAGAGCAGGTGTTCATAGAGACAGCTGTCAAATCTCCATCTTACTGAGATAATTCCCCATATTAATAACAAGTTTTGTTTTCTCAGATGAAAGGGCTGCAAAACCATCTCAGTCCCTATTCTCTCTGTAGTTATGAGTAATCTGCTAGTGGACACTTGTGGTTTTTGAGTTATCCTGCTTGACCAGTCAACTCGTTTTTTTTTTCACAGATTATTTCCTACTTGAAAAAAAAAGAACCAGTTTTAAAGCCCTGTCATTTTTTTTTTATGCAGTTATTTTGGGTCTGATTCCATAAAACATTTCTATATTTAAGGTTTAGACAATAGTATCTTTTTTTTTAAACAAAATCTGGAGTTTGAAGGAAGGCTACTTGACTTTGTGCTTAAGTTGACACTGGTGGAGGATAGTTACTTGGACTTGACACACAGGCAGCTTAGACAAGTTGCTGTGGCAGAAGCAGAAGGAAGAGTGGAAGGGTTGCCAATTATTCATGTTTTTTTAAAAAAAAAAACACAATGCAAAGACAAAAGACTTCTTCTGGCAAGACACAGTCACACACATCATTGGTTTTAAGCACACAGAAACAGTTATGGAGTTCCAGGGCCAGTGAAATGGAGGTGGGCTTGATGCACTCATCCTAGATAGTCCCTGACAGTCAATGTAGGGGTGTTAAATACATCTCCAGCTCATGTATGGAAAACAATAAATGAAGAACAACCCCCCACCATCCACCCCAGCTAAACCAAACCCCAAATTACTTCTATCAGCTAAAAGAAGGGATCCCACAGCACCTTTTCCCCCCCAGAAAAACTTGAAGCAAGTTCACGGTCAAAAGCCCAAAGGTGGAAAAATATCTTCTACCCTTCCACTGTGGGCAGCTGATGAACTGGACTCTACTTTAGACACAGTTTTTAAACACTTCCTGTTTCCAGAAATATCTGCCCCAAACTTATGTCCAACCTAACCCCATCCCACAGCTCCGTGTTTGTTTGGGTCTGAAAGTTCACTCTTAATCCTCAACTGCTCAAAACACAACGAAACACAAAAAGAAGGGGGAGGGGGGAAAGGTCAATATTGGCATGTTGAATATTTTTGTCTCTCTCGACTCCTATGGGACATTTTCCAGATTCATGTCAAACCTACCATCCCCTCCAGCAGTCTGGGTTTGGGTACTGGCTTCCTGAACGAGCACTGAGGGCCTGGCTGCTGTTTCTGAGTGGTCTGAAGGAACAGACCCAGGAAGGCCAAGGCCACCAGCTCCTCCTCGCATGCCTGGGGGAAGAGTCACCAGCAGCGATGCCGAGTCCACAAGTTTCCTTAGGGCTGTCTTGATCTCCTTATCTGCACGCTGGAGTGAGGCCTGGACAGAAGTCTCCATCTCTGACTGTGGGGAAGTCATTCCTATAGAGGAGAACAACAACTTTTCTCTCTTCAGGGTAAAAAGAAAACAGCAGCATCATCCAACCCATGGAAATATTTGCAGTCACATCACTTTCCCCTCCTAGAGCAGAAAGCTGATGCAGAAATGCATATTCCACCAAAAAGGAACAGGGTTAAGACTTTAAATAAGACAGGTGACACAACAGGCTTCTGGAAGACATATCTCACCAGGATGAGGACACTGTCCCACACTGCACACACGCTTGGCCTCTCCCTAGACAGCAGAACAAAGGATCCATCTCCCAGCTCAACCCTACGTTGGCTGCTCTGTCAAAAAACCCTTTCCTTAGATCAATGAAATGAACCCAGTGGGGACTCAGTGCATGCAAGGAGAACGTTTATTCTCAAGGGAAGGAGGAGGAGTGAGCAGGTGCCAGCCCCACCAGTGACTCTGGAGAAGGGCAGATTGGGAAGAAGGGGGGGTTGTTCTGCTCTTGAAGGCAGAGAGAAGAGAAAAGCTTTCCACACATTAAAAAGGAGTTTCAAGGATACATCTTTGCAGAATGGCCACCCAGGAGACAAACACCATGGTCTCATCCCCAGTCAGTGCTGGAAGAAGAAGCTAGGCTAGGCTGGGATCCCAGGACCTCATCTCATCAACCTCCTGCCTGAAACACCTTCTACAAGTCTTGAAGAAGCACAACAAAGGGACAGATGATATCTAAGGAAACCCTCAAATAACCACGAAGACCAAAGGCAGGTCAGATCAAGACAATTCATCATGTTCATGATGTGGTTGCTTGCCAAGCAAGAGCAAGTTTGAGCAAACTCAAACGATCATATGGTTCAATAAAGATGAGAGCACTTGCACACAAGCTGCTCTGACTTTGTTAATATAACTGAAAATAAATTAAATATAATATGTTTGTATAAATACAAGACCATGTCCTGTAGCTTCTTTAATTCTGCTCCTTTCCTGACCTTAAGAGGTTAAATTCCCATGACAGACCTTGGCAACTGAAGTTGAAGGCCACATTTAGATCAATCCCTTTTGAAGACATCTGACTTTATTTTTGTTTTCAATGTCCTCTGCATGAACAGAATGGTTATCACAGAATCACAGGATGGTTCAGGTTGGAAAGGACCTTAAAGACCTTCCAGTTCCATCTCTCCTGCCATGGACAGAGACACCTTCCACTAGAGCAGGTTCCTCAAAGCCCCATCCAAAAACCAAGTTTTTCCTCACATGATGTCCCAGCCTGCCCATCAGTGTTCATCAGCACTAGAAGATCTTTAAATATCTTCCTAGATAAATATTTTGATTCTCAGACATTCCTGTCGTGCTTGTTGCCAACTGGTGGTGTCCAGAGCAGCTGCCAACAATGGAACTGTTTGGAAAAGCATGAAACACTCTTAGTATCTCTAAATGAGAAATACAGTCACACACACTTGTGATGGACAGTCTGTTTCCCAGTTCAATCCCAACTGTGAACCCTCCCACCCCACATCTCCTTCAGCCAATAACCAGACTGACACACATTTCAGAGTTCCAACACAGCCTCAGAGAAGGACCCAAGAGGACGAGCATCGTTCAGAATTATTGACTTATAGATGTGAGTTGAAAGGATCCCTAAAAACAGGTTCTTTCACTTCAACACTTCTGAAACTGTCCTTAAAAAGAGAAGCCAGAGCCCAACTGCTTTAATATTCTTGGGTGGCTACCCAGCTCCTGATGAAGTCAACAGAGGAGTGGATGAGTTGATGGACTGTCAAATGCCAAGAACAGAGAAGAACAGAGAAGAACACAGAAACCCAGTGAGTTCAGTGACAGCTGATGCAAGACATTTATTGATATAAACTCATCATCAAACAACGTATCTTGCATTTGATTTTTTTTGGGTGTGTTTTCTTCCTCTCCTTGCACCTCAAGCAAACTGAAGTTTCCACATTATTAATACCCATTTGCCTGCAGGAATTTTAGTAAAACATTCTTTGTATTAAAATTTTTCATACAGCTGTATGTTTTCATCTACCAGAAATAAATCCCCACACATCTCATTAGTTATCTACATAGTTGAATCACTTACAAGCATCATTTGTAACCTCTAGGAAAATATTTTGAAAGTATATGTAATGAACTTTCCATAAACCTTTCACTGTTTGAACAGAGTCCTGCGTAGGATTTTAAAGATTCCTTTCAGTTGATTCTCTTTTGCTTAAATTTCAAAAGAAAATGTAAACAGATGTTAATTGCTTTGAGCTAATGAAGCAAAGTAGTGTTATTTCTTCTGTGACTGTCTGAGCTGCAACATTTTGGCTTCTTTAGAAAAACCTGAGCGTCAACCACAACAGGAGGAAACCCCCACATGCCTTTAGACATCTTCATTATCTTTTTTTTTCAATTAATATTATATTTTTGAAGACTATGATAGGGCAGATTCTGTTCTCAGCAGTGTCTTGTAAATCTGCACCAAGGTCACTTCCTTCTGTGGAAATAGTCTCCATTGATACTGGAATAACTGAGATCAGAATCAGGCCCAATAGGAAAGAACTATTTCATTTAGAAAGTATTTTCCTGTTGTATGTTTGTTGCTTTCCAAAGTACAGTGTAATATATGAAAAAAAAGCACTAATATATATTCATCGTATTGCTGAATTATAAAACAAACAGTAAAAACCAAGGAGATGTTATAAAAAATGGGAGAGTAGCATAAAAGAAGCTTGATTTTTTTTTTGTAATCACTGAGAAGCATCCTGTATCATGAAGGTAGTGCACATGATATGACACAAAACATCCCGTGTGGATCTTGAAAGTAAAAGGCTGTGAAATCAAATATTTTCGGTTTAGTCAGCCCGTAATCGAAGTGCTGACAGCAGGAAATCAAAGGAAATCAAAGCCACAGAAGGCAAAAAGTAACATACTCTTCTCTACAAGCACCTTTTGTGAATTCAGTCCCCGTTGGTGGGAATATGGCCCAGAGGACTCCAGAATGAGCTTCACAACAGTACTTAGCCAGGAAACACTGAGACAACATCACAGGTACACTTCCAAGGTGGAAACTCAACCCTCTCTTCGTGCTGGCTAGAGAATCAGCTGTGTCTGAGCATTTCTGCTGTCCCTATACCACCTACATGAAAAGATTTCCTGTTGCAACACAACTCAGCTGGGACAAAGCGTTGGGACTTTTCACCCCAGATCTCTGTCAGATTGAGAGGGCCAGTGCTTTGTCCTGCTGAGATCGACGACCAGCTCCAGCTGACTTCAACTGGGACAAACGTTTGGGTCAATAAGCTCATTGCTTTCCAGGGCTGAGCAACTTGTTGGAGGTTGGTGCAACGCCCATTTTTGGTGAAGCCAAGGGGAATGGGCCACGCTTAGTGCATCTTAGCCTTCCCTTCAACCAGTGCTCCTGCTGCCAAGCTCTAGAGAAACTCAACAGAAGGTAATACCTCTACAAGGCAGCTCAATGTACGTGGTTATAGCGACAGGATGCAATGGCAACCACTGGCAAGGACAGGAGACCAAATATTCTTCCAGTAATACTTCTTGACAGAGATCACGTTTGTGGTTCTTTGATTGTTGATGCAGAAGTTGTTTTGTGCAACACTCTTGGTGCACATTAAGTGAATATATTTTAAAAGATACGGTTTATAAACCCTACGCATCTTAGCCTTCCCTTCAACCAGTGCTCCTGCTGCCAAGCTCTAGAGAAACTCAACAGAAGGTAATACCTCTACAAGGCAGCTCAACCTACGTGGTTGTAGCGACAGGATGCAATGGCAACCACTGGCAAGGACAGGAGACCAAATATTCTTCCAGTAATACTTCTTGACAGAGATCACGTTTGTGGTTCTTTGATTGTTGATGCAGAAGTTGTTTTGTGCAACACTTTCATCTCTTGGTGCACATTAAGTAAATATATTTTAAAAGATATGGTTTAGAAACCCTACATGTGGGTTTATAAACCTACATCTTAGGACAACTAGGAAGTGGACTTGAAAATAACAGTGTTTTTAAAAAAAGAGCCTTTTTTTCTGCTTAAAGGAGAAGAGAACAATGAAATCCTTGCTTCCTCAAGTCAGTGGGACTTTCACCATTGACTTTAGCCAAATTAGGATTTCAACCTAAAGGTCTGAGCAGCCCTTTGCATCCCTAGGAAATGCATTATTTTCTATATGTTTCATGCTGTGGCAAAAGATTAAAATCATGTAACCAGCCTGGACATGTCGAAATGTTTATGGGGAAATTTTGATGGAGCTGATTGGTGTCAAAAACAGACAGCAGAGTCAAAGCAGTGAGGAGCTTCGTGACCTTCAGGCACACACAGTGACAGGAGCTTTAGCTGGAATCAGTCCTCCTGTCCTGGGCTGCTGAAGGGTGCTGGAAAGCTCAGATGCTTTCACCTCGCCCCACCATAACGTACAAATGGGTGCTTGGAAAGAATCTTTAAGCTCATGGACAAACCCACGCTTCCTCATTTCTATTTCTGTCATAGGCAGGAGAATCAGGCTTTTCCTAAACCTCCCATCACCACTATGGAATGATATATGTTCACCTCGATCAAAGCTTTTAAAATTAAACTGTTCTGACAGACGTGTTCCCTTTAAGACTGGAAAAGCTCAACATATCATATTTAAACATATTTTCCTCAAAGGTATTCCCTCGTACATGTTACCTTGTGATCTTTGCCACCAATTCCCCTCACCTACAACAATTTGAATTAGGTTTGTGTTTCGTTTTGTCTTTTTTTTTTTTTTTCCTCCTAAAACATGGCTTTCTTTTTGTGTTGAAAATCATGCTTGCATCTGCTCAGCTTTGGGAGAGGTCTTCTGTGCTGATGTGCAAGGTGACAGGCTCGCCAACAGTCCCATAGCTGAGAGTTCTTGTGGAAACTTCAGTTTTGAAGCTTGACTGTCCGTTGTCTGCTGAAAGCTGGACTTCAGTGCAGAAAGATGGTTTCACTGTGAAGGAGGGAGCAGGAGAAGCTGCTGCTGCCATGCAGGTATCACTCACATGGAAGGAGATGTTCGAGGGGCCTACAGACTGCACGCCGGTTACTCTGGATGCTGACAGGAACACGCTCCCAGGAATGTGCTCCTCAAACTGGCTGAAAAACCTTTGCCTGGGCTCAGGCACCACGGGTCTCACCAGATTCAGCAGCACTGGCTTCCCCACCGTTGGCTCGTTGATCTCTGTCTGGAGCACGGAGATCTCACAGGGTTTCTCTGTCGTGTGGCTCTGACCATCACACCCGTAGGTCTCTCCTTCTTTGGGAACATAATCTTCCAGGTCTTCCAAAGTTAACACTTTGCCATTGTGGGTCAGGATTTTGCGGTCCCGGGTGCTGATGTCATCTGTCTGCAGTTCCTCTGGCTCATCAACTATAACGACACCATCCTCTTCTGGGAGGACATCTGGCATTACTTCAGGTACCTCCTCTTCCACAGGCCAAGACACGTCTAGTTCCTCTACCTCTTCCTTCACCTCTGGACTCGCTAAGGAGAACAGAAGTTCATGCTGGCCTGGAGCAGCTGTCTCAAAACTGAAGGTCAAAGGCTCACCCCCACAGGCAAGCAGTGGGGAAGCAACATCTGACCTGCTGTGAGCACTTGTCTCCTGGGGGAAGCTCTTCCCTTCAGCTCCATAAGCTGCAAATGAACTATGTTCTAGTTGCTCGGATGCACACGGGGAGCTCCTGTCTTCGTTGCTGACCTGAGGTCCTTCCTGCTCAGCTGCATACACCAGGGGCTGGATCTCGGCTTCGGAGAGACTGTCGTTAGGCAAAGATTTTGGCTGTTCCACCAATTTATTGTTGGAGTTGTTTGTGTTTGGATCATCCTCTGGGGAACGCCTAGGTCTTGAGCTGGGAAAAGTGAATGTGAGTGTCCCTGAGTCATCTTTTTCTTGTTTTGCTGGGGAAGAGCCTCTTTTCCTTGCAGGTTTTGGTGATTTTTTCACCTTGAATTCAATTATTTCTTCCACTTCCACCCATTTGGGCCTTTTCTCCTCCACCTTGGTCTCTACGACGACGCCTCTCGCTGCTGCTCCTTGCCTGTCCTCTGGTTCTGTGACAAAAAGCACGGGAACAGCCGACTTGGGCGTTGCCTCCTGCTCATATCTGTGGACAGGCTGCCTGATCTTTGAGATGTAAACTGGCTCTGGAGTTGGCTCCGCTCTGGGGGAGCGGGAAGGTGACCGTGAAGGAGAACGTGCAGGAGAAACCCTTCCCCTTTGTCTTGGGCTCTTCACCACGGTGGTTATCGTTTCCTCTCTGATGACAGAAAGGGTTGGGATGGAGTTGGCGGGGAAGATGAGACTTTTTGGGGAGCCACACTCCATCAGCACATGCCACCGCTGGCCAAGGCGCTACGGGGGGGTTAGTTTTGTGAGCACTCCAGCTTTTGGGGAAGCGTGTCACGTTGGAAGGGATACACACGCAACGCACACACCCACATGCCCTTCTCCACCTCCTTTCTGACCCAGGGAAAACCCCAGTGCCCTTTCCCCCAGGTGGATCCGAGCTCTATGAACCTCCTGGAGTGCATGAACACTCAATGGGTGTGTCCAGCTGAGAAATGGTCTTGTGGTTGCTGTTATATTTCATGTGCTTGTGTTGACCACCTGCTATGCTATGTTGGACCCATAATATAGCAGCTTCACCCAGAGATTTTAAACACTCAAGGAGTTTAACCTTTCTTGGGTATCCTTGGCTCAAATCTTGGCTTCATCCAACTCAATGGCAAAACACTCTTTGCTACATTAGGGTCAGCAGCTTCCTCTTTTAAAAACAATGTTACCTATCTATGTTTTGGGTTTTAAAGACACTTTTGAGACCAGAGATCTGCACTTTCACATGCAGAACAGTTACACTAAAAGGGCAATAAGCTTTGGAGACCAGAAAAAGAAAGGACATTTCCTGCACAAGTCATCTATGCCAAAAATGGACTGATTTTTACTCCTCATAATATCATTAATGCAGACACGGCCTGATCTACAACCAATTGGCACAGGAGAACCAACCCAATCTGGGATGCATGATTATAATTTCTTAGACTATTTCTGCTAGCTTTCCTTTAGATTTTTTGGCACATCCAAGGCATTTGGGACTTCTTAGCATCCCTGTATAAACACACATCTTATGTTAAAAACAATATTTTACTCCATTACCAGGAGAAACTTCAACTCTGAATGAGCTACAGATGAAATTGGATCAAAAGGCTTTAAAATCTGGGGAGAGGAACACCTGAACCCAGACCAGTGCTCTTAATTTATATATTTAACAAGTAGTTTTTCCTGTGGATTTTCCAGAGTCATTTCTTACATGGAAAAACTTGTGGATAAAGACAGCATTGGCTCTGCAGGCACAAAGAAGCTGATGCTCTACAGTGGAGGTAAGTGGTTCAGTGGAGGTACCAGGCAAACCTGATTTTGTTTCTGTGTGGAGATTCTGTCCTACTTCCAAGCAAAGAGATAAAAAAAAGAACTGAAGGGTCAAGTCAACGACCTGTTTCTCCTACTCCTTTTGTTTAACCATCATGGAAGACTAATCCTCTGAGATATCATGTAGCCTTTCTCATCTACTGGTCTGCTTTTTGGAGAAAGGCATTGCCTCCTCCTATGGAGATGAGGTTTCTTTCCACCATCAACCTCACCCTTTGAGGATGCAGTGAAGCTCAGGACTGGATCAACCAGAGCATGACTTCTTGTCTTCTGGAGCATCCTCTCTTCCAGTGCT